TATCTGCAGGTCCTCTTTCTTAGCGTCCCAGAAATGCCCTGGCTACAAGGTGCAGTTGTCCAAAGTCTTGGCCGAGGAGAATAAGCCTGCATGCTGATGTCACTGAAGACTAGTCAGGGCAGGAGGCTGGGCGTGTGTGGTGAGCAGGCAGATTTTTACTCAGTTCCACTCCTTAGGGTAAGATCCCTCACCCCTACTTTCATGTGACTAGTGTCTCTGAGTCCAGAGCCTCCCTAGTTCAACCTTCCCAGAGTGAAATTTCTGGTGCTTTTTATATAAAATCCTCCCCTGAGGATATGTTTCTTGATTTTAGAAAGAGAGGAAGGGGGGAGTGGGGCGAGAGAAAGATGTGAGAGAGAAACATTGATTGACTGCCTCCAATATGCACCCTGACCAGGGACTGAAACCTAGGCATGTGCCCCGACCAGGGATCAAACCCGCAGCCCTTTGGTGGATGGGACAACACTCCAACTGAGCCACTCGGCCAGGGCGAAATCTCCAGTGCTTTTGAGGGTGAGAGGATGGTAGTGGCCTTTCCACACGGGAAGAGAGAAGAGACCTGGGGTCTCACCGCTCCTGATGAAAAATCCTGACAGATCCTTTTCAGCCACTGCCGCAGCTCCCTGAAATCTCCAGTCCTGAGCCTTTCAAGGTCTTCAGTGCAAATCCACGTACTTTCGACAGCTTCCTGCACAGGGTTTGAACTCTAACTCTCTCTAGTTGGGTAGGTCAGCATCTGCTTTCCAGGATCTCTGTTGCTATTCCTGCATCTTCCTCAGTTTGTTCTGTCCCTGTGGGGCATTCTTTTTTGGTCCCTTTGCTCCCACTTATGGAGGGTCTCAGGAGGACGAGGAGATAAATGCGTGTGCTCAGTGTCCTATGCACCTTCCTTCCACTATGAAGGCAGAAATGGAAGCCATTTAAAATTGTGTTATCATAGGGATGATGTAGGAAAGAATGAGAAACTCTATTCAGAGGCCTATCATAGAAGACATCTTGGCCTTATATTAGGAGTTTGGTGAATAAATAAATGCTTTTTATTTTTTCACATTTTTATTTTTAGGTCAAAATGATATGTTTAAGCCATGTATGTCTATATGTATTGTTATTACTATTCACAATCTTCACTTTTATTATTTTTTTAAATTAATTAACTCATTCTGTTTCTGACTGTGATATAAAAGATGGTCTCTTGTTCCTATGACTTACATTAACAGGAGACAGTGGCTATCTTGGACAAGAGGACGTGGAAGTTCAGGGTCGTTGGTTACACCTTTCTGTTCCCCAGGTGACCAAGCAGGGCGGTCCCCCATGGAGGTGGGGCTGAGCACAGGAGGTGACAGTGCTACCCCAAAGTCCTGTCCTTTTCATTTGCTCTTTAATTCTTTCAGCAACTACTTGCTGGTTGCTCACTGTTGGCCGTGCTCTGTGCGTCTCACTGTGGGGACCCAGAGCCATTGACTTACCCTGCACATGGGCATTTCCCATTGGCTCATAGCCCCAAAGGGATAGGGTAGCTTTTCTCTTGGGCTGGGTACATGTTGGTGACTTTTCAAATGTTTTCTACCTTCTGACCAGAGGTGAAAGTATATCTTTGTTCTCTTAATTTTGGTCAAGAAGGCAGCCGCCCCTGTGAACAGGCGTGGTGAGGGGAGGAAAGCGCTGTGCCACAGAGGGTCCCTTCTGTTTGCAGACACAGTAATTTGGAATGCGTCTGCAGAGGACCTGGTCAGTGGTCATAGTGAACACAAGGACTCACTGTCATTTTCCTTTCCCTTATTTTACTTTATTTTATTTTATATATTTTTAATCCTTACCTGAAGATATGTCCATTGATTTGGCAGAGAGAGAGAGAGAAAGAAAGAGAGGGGGACACCCACATGAGAGACGTTGATGGGTTGCTTCCCATACACGCCCCAACCAGGGGTCAAACTCAAAACCCACGTGTGTGCCCTGACTGGGAATCAAACCCAGTACCTTTTGGTGTACAGGACAACGCTCCAGCCAGCTGAGCCACCTGGCCAGGGCAGCACTCGCTGTGATTTTAAGCCTCCCTCAGAGGACCCTGCAGTGAGGTTAGTGCTGTTGCAGGCACCATGTCACAAGTCCTAACGCCACACTTTTTACCAAAAGCACGAGGAAGGAACAGCTTGCTGAAGAGTATGGCCAGACTCTTTTTCTGGCGCTAGGTCTTCTTTGATCAATTCTAGAAAGAAGACAAGCTGGAAGAATAATTTTTCTTGAGAGGGCCGTTGTTTACATGGGTAGTATGGCAACAGCTTGCAGTTTATGTCTACAGAGAAATTCAGGCCGAAATGACCTGGCCTGCAGATCATTTTTGACTGTAGCCTTCCCGCTGCCACCGCCTTCCCATCGTCACACGACAGGCCAATGGAATTCCTCGTGGCTCTGTCTATGCCTCTGTCATATATTAGGAGTGAGTGTATTCATACGGTCTTCCAGGCACACGGTGCTTATGTACCTCTCTGTCTACCTACCTATCATCTATCAGCGTATCTATCAATCATATCTTATTCATCATATACGTAAATGCCACCATTTTTCAAAAGTCTTTCTCTTTCTCCCTATTAGTTCCCTTCCAGCTTTCACTCTCTGCATGTGACATTGTCCTGATCACAGAAGGCAAGTAGGAGTCTGTAAGTGACATTGTAAGGAGAGAGGGCTTGTTGAGAAGTGACAGCACCTGCTGAGGCAGAAGAGAGTCTGGCAGGACAGAGAGAGACAGTGGGGGGCTGGGGGCCCAGAGAGAGAGGAAGGTGAGAGAACTGGGAGGAGGAAGGCCCGGGACAGAGTGTGCGTGGTGAAAGCAGACAAAAGGAGGGGTAAGCCACGTGTGGAAGAGAAACTGGGCTTCCTGGGGAATACTCTGTGCATGCTTCTCCTTTTATTGGATTTTATGTTTAGTGTAAGACTTCTGAGGTCTGGGAAAATATGGGGTAGGTACACCCCCATAATACTGGGAACTGTAGGTAGCTTTCACAAGCTTGCAGCTGATGTTCAAATCTCTTGTAACCCAAGCCTGACAAATCCGAATCTAGGCTTTGTGCCAGAGAAGGGGAGAGGGGGAAGCTCTGACTAAGGGTCACTCATGCCCCAGCCTATAACATTTGAGCAGCGAGAAGGATGTGTCTAAAAGCTCCCCACCTGCCTTCCACCGGGGACACCAAGGGAGGCGCTCAGGAAGGGAGAGGGTACAGTTGAAAGACGCCGTGTTAACAATCAGTGATGTAAACCCACTAAAATTGGCCACGTTTTAGAAAATGTGAACCCTCAGTTTTAAAAATAGACTTCATATTTTACAAATCTGGTTATAGACTAACCCTTCCTGTCAGATGCTAATTAAAAAAATAATCCAAACAGAAAACAGTATGAGCCGTCTTCTACCCCAGGACTTTCTGGCCCTAACAAAGTTCCGCCCTAAGAGTGTGCAGCTGCGAACAGGCTGTGGCGCCGGGAGTTTTGTTCTGCACGGCGGGGAGCTGGGCAGCCGGGTGGTACCGCAGGCGGTGGATTTGGCAGAGAGAGGAGCATCTGGGCCCGACAGCAGAGATAGATGTCACCACCTGGCACATAGCCCCCAAACGGTCCCATTACCTCCCCGTCCTACCCCTTCTCCAGGTTGAGCGCAGATGGCATTCAATATATATTTGATTAATTTTTTTATGACATAGTCCTGGTTTTAAGCAAATGGAGACAGAAGGTGTGTGTTTTGTTAGTGGAGTCTGCCAAGGTGGAGCTCATTGAAGAGGGAAGACGTTTCTGAGGGCAGACGGCTTCTGGCACGGCCGCTTGGGGTGGAACTTGGTGTCTTCGGTGAGAATAGGAAGGCGTAGCCCCAGGGAGGAGCGCGCCAGCCACTGGTGAGCAGAGGGAAAGTGGGCTCTGCAGAAAGATTTCCTGAAGACGCTTTGTGGCAGCACCTACACGACGTTCCAATCGAGTCTCTGGATACAGGCAGCTTGTTAGGTGGTTTAGGGGCGTGTTTTTGCCAGATGTGAACATACACGCCAGACTATGGCTGTTTGGGACGTGGGCGGTAGAGCCAGGTATCCCGCGAATGCCTCGTTGGACACCGACATCTAGAATCTTGACGGTTGTGAACTTTCAGAATCTGACTTGGGATTACGGAGTTTTGGAGCCACAGGGCAAATGTTGGACAGTTTTTATGGGGTAGTTTGTCCTCTTGTTCACGTGGTCCAGCTATTCCGTGGCATGTCCCAGATGGATTTGTCTGTCCTCCGTCAGCTGTGACACCCCAGGTTCCAGCAATGGGAGGGGTCCAGCAACTTCATCAAACTCTGAAAACAGGACTCTCCGCACCGGAGCAGCCCACCCCTTAAAATGCCTAATGAAGTAAATTCTGGCAACAAACTCTGAGATGGATACTCCTTGTACAAAGAAGTCTGTCTTTGCTGCAGGGCTTGGTCCCAGAATCGCTCCCCTGGAGAAGATTCCTGTTCGCACAAGGGCGACCGCCTCTGGGTGAAAGAACAGTGCTGTTCCTTCTGAGTCAGACTCGTGCTGGTCGCTCACCCCTTGTTGCCTTTTGCTGACCGAGCTGCACTCAGCGGGGCATGCGGCGTGCTAGGGGCACATGTGAGGTTGGGCGGGACTCTGGGGCCTCTTCACACTCCCTTTTGAAAAAAAAAAGATTTCATTTTTTATTTTTAGAGAGCGTGGAGGGAGAAAGAGAGGGAGAGAAACTGGGTGTGTGAGAGACACATCCACTGATTGCCTTTCGCACACCCCCAACTGGGGACCTCGCCTGCAAACCAGGCGTGTGCCCTGACCAGGGATCGAACCGTGAGCTCTCCATGTGTAGGCTAATGCTCAATCTGCTGAGCCACGCCAGCCAGGACCAGGCTCCTTTCTCACCCAGTGGGTGGCTAGCGTGGCCTCTCAGGCAGTGTCATCTGTTCTAGAGACTAGGGAGAACCCTGGTTCTGCTGATGGTCAATCAGAATTCCACCCCCCTGCAGATCCATGACCAAGAGGAAGAATTCAATGAGAAGAGTGAGCATGATTCCGGCATCAACGAGGAGCCTCTACTCACAGCTGATCAGGTAGGAGCATCTCCTTGGTCCTTGGGATTTTTTCCCGTTTTTGTTTTTTGATAGAGAAAAACTTCAAGAGAATATACTTGTCGCATCCAATGAAGGCAGAAGACAAATGCATGGATGAGCTGGAGTATCTTTCGGAAGGGATTTCATTTCTCTTTATGCGGCAGTTTGCCCAGCTGCTGTAGATAGGAGGGAACCCAATTTCTGCCGCTCGGCCGGGAAGGGGGGGGGGCGGGGGCGGGGGGCGGTGCTCCGCGTTTGGTAACAGCCAGGGGCTGGCCGGTGTTTGCTGACTTTGCCTCCTGATAAACCTCATTCAGATTCATTGAGCCCAGAGTAAGGACAGCAAAACAAGGGCCACACACCTGTTCTTCCGCCAACAGACACGGTGAAGGGGGCTTTCCCGTGCTGGATAGTTGCTCATGTTTCAGAGAACACTGAGAATTCTGAGCCTTTCCAAAGAAGGCTTAGAGACACTTTGTCTCTCTTTGTTTGTCAAAAGATAAAAATAAAAAAGGTATAGTGCTTCACATGTGATTGAGTTAATTATATTTTGGGCTTTAATAATTTATTCCTGGAGGAGAATAATATTGGATCTCTGGGTTCCTCGCTGAACCTTTTAGTCAACAGACAGCTGTGGATGGCTGTTCTGAGCAGGCACCGTGCACGTTTTTCTCGCAAAGTAATTCTAAAAAGGCTCCGCTGGGAGCTCTGGATGCCAGAAAGCTTTTCAGTAGAAGGAATGCTTTTGTGTTTCTGGTAAAAAGTGGGATATCAATAGGCTAGGATCCAGAGCTCGAAGGGAACCAGGTTGAAAAAGACAGGGGCGAACAGTTATTTTTGTGAGTTTTGGAGCGAGACAGCTTAGGGACACAATTCAATGGTAACTACTCTGAGAGAAAGGGGGGCTGTCACTTGCTTGCCTTCTGTGAATGGCTTTCAGGAGTTGAGGACTGCGTGTCCTCTAAATTGATGACTAGAGAGGAGAAGGTTTGGAGATAAAACAGCAGTTATGCTAAAGGAGGGGACCATATGTCTTCTTCTCCTTGCTTCAGCCCTAACGTGAAGAAACCCACTTCAAAGACCTCAGTCCAGTGGTCTCGGAAGCGGAGTCTGTCACAGCATCAGGAACAGGCAAATGCAGAGATCGGGTCACCGCTGTGACTGGTCTCCTCGACAGAGTCCTTTCAGAAGGACTTAGTCGGCTTCCTTTTTGTGTAAACAATTAATGTGCAAAGTCCATCACCCTTATTCCTCTTGATCATCATCTAATTTTACTCTCACTTCCAGGAGCTGTCCTCCCACCAAGAGTGTAGATTAGCAGGGCATTTCTTACCTCTTTTCTGTTCTCCAGACCCTACACAGCCTTTTATTCCTTTATTATCTTGATTTTCGCTTGTCGCCAGGCAGCTTCAGTTCCTGCCTAGAATTTTGGAAAAACGGCCATTTCCCTCTCTGTCAAAAACCTCTGTCTCTGGAGTTGTGGCGGGTCACTTCGTGGTTGTTTGCCCCCTGTCCTACACATCGTGACCACGAATGGACTGAGTGTCCTGTGGACGCCGAGTGGATAAAACACTTTCCCACTTAGAAGTAAAGTGCTCAGCAAATTGAAGTAAATGTTCCCTTCCGACAGCTCCGGTGCATTTCCTGAAAGAGCTGTTTATCTCCAGTAAAGCACTCAGCTAAACACTGTTCTTAGAAGAAGCTTTGCAGTAAAGAAAGAGGGGGTATATGCCTTGGGTCAGATCTATTTTTATTATTATTAATATTTATTAAGTAACAACACGGCTTTAGGAATTGTACAGACAGCAAATGAGCCATGTCCTTCTCTGATCAAAATTCAAGCCCAAATGTCCCTCCAGCAGAGGACACAGTCAGCGGTCTCTCCTGTACCTTCTTCAGGTAATTGAGGAAATCGAGGAGATGATGCAGAACTCGCCAGACCCTGAGGAGGAAGAGGAGGTTCTGGAAGAGGAGGATGGGGGTGAAACTTCCTCCCAGGCAGACTCGGTCCTCCTGCAGGAGATGCAGGCCTTGACCCAGACCTTCAACAACAACTGGTCCTACGAAGGTGAGGCCTTAGGGGCGGGTCTGCCGAGGACGACCCCTTCCGGGGCCAAGACTGTGCACGCACTTCACGCGTAGCCAATAGAACCTCGCGCCTGGGGAGTTGGCAACATCTTTCTTACAGGGCATCAGGCAGAAGTTAGCATTTCCAGAAATGAAAAGGCAGTTGAGCAAATTAAAATGGTAAAACTAAGCAAAGAATAAGAAGACTAAAGCAGAGTAGGTAGAAGAAATCTGAACCCATGATTCAAAACGATGCCACTATAAAATTAATGAAAATAACCCTACAAAAGGTAGTAATAACAGCTCATATTTTTGGAGAGCTCTCCGTGAGCCACCCTGTTCCAAGACTTTCTGCACACAATCTCCTTTTATCCGCACACCAACCCCATTCGGGTTGAGCTGAGTGTTCCGAAGGCCACTGTTGCAAAAATGTGATTACAAACAAAATCTCCTTTCACTCCGAAAGCCTTTCCATGGAAGCAGGGAGAAAGAAAACGATTTTCTCACTGAAGAAGCACTAAGTTAGCATGTGACATATGCCATGAGCCACCCGCAAAGGGACTGCAGGGCCAGAAAGAAACCTCACTGTCATTGAGAGCTAAGTGGATGCAATCCATGACACTAATTAAGGTTTGCAATTTGGAGTCAGGTGACAACAAAGGTCCCATTATCCTCCTCGAAGATTGCTTTTCAAAGTAATTCCTGATTCTTGAGGAAACATTTCTGAGCCCAGAGACTGGCAAGAGGCTTATCCGGCCATTAAAATGACTGACATTCACTTGAAGAGGACAGAGAGAGAAATTCTGGGAGGACGGGACAGTCAGGGAGAGGCAGTCTCCTCCTTTATTTTCAACAGGGAAAAGCAAGCCTCTTACTGTGCATTTGCATTTCTCCTTACACCACGTATAAGTCAGAAGGGTCGGAGCCAAGTTTGAGGCCAGGTGGGTTAACTCCAGTGTCCTGACTCTTAATCTGTGTATCGTATTGATTCTCTGACACAGATTTTAGTCATTATGATCACACAAACAAACAGGTGGATGAAGAATGCAATGAAAAGGCCCTGGCCGGTGTGGCTCCATTGCTTGGTGCATCATCTGGTACATTGAAAGGTCGTGGGTTCAGTTCCCAGTCAGGGCACATATCCAGGTTGTGGGTTTGCTCCTCAGATGGGACACATATGAGAAGTAACCTGTCCACGTCTCTCCCTCACACTGATGTCTCTCTCTCTCCCCCCCCACCTCTTCCCCTTTCTCTAAAAGCAATGGGAAAAAAATGTCCTCAGGTGGGGATTAAAAAAATGGAATGAAAAGATGTAACACAGCAAGGGCAAAGTTGAGTATAAAATCCATCAGTCTGTAGGGATGATGTCGTTCTGGCTGCAGGAGGGGCCGTGTCCCTGGGAATAACTCCTTTGGATGGGGGTGAGGGGTGCTGGTAGCGGGGACTTAGGGACGATGGAGGGAGAAGGTGGGTCGGGTCAGGACCTGCAGATCCAAACCGGGATCAGAACAGCTGGGAAATGGAGGCGTGACCTGCGTTGTGCAGGGGAAGTGAGACGCGGGCAGCGAGGAGCAGAGGCAGGACGGTGACCCAGGGGAGGAGCCTGTGCAGGGCGATGGCGGGGACTTGGCTGCAGCTCTGCACCCACAGCTGCCCGGTCAGGCCATTCTCAGCCACACAAAGGTCCCACACACAGACGCGGTCAGCAGAAGGCTCGTGAGAACGGCTGAAAGGCAGAGCGAAATGGCAAAAGCAGAAGGAGGCGGACGGCACCGCAGGGCAAAATAAAGGGGGAAGTCGGACCGAGTCAGCAAGTGTCGGGCAAAGCAGGAACAAAAAGGAGGAGGAAATGGAGATTCTGCGGCAGAAACAAAAGATGCCGTTAAAAAGGGGTCCATTTGCTTTCTGGGTCCATTTTGTTTTAAATCCTCACCCAAGGGTATATTTAGTGATTTGAGTGACAGAGAGAGGGAGAGACAGACAGACAGACAGACAGACGACAGACATTGATGTGAGAAGAAACATAGATTGGTTGCCTCCCATAGGGCCTCAACCAGGGATCGAACCTGCAAACTTTTGGTGTACAGGACGACGCTCCAACCAGCTAAGCCACCTGGCCAAGGCTCGAATCCATTTGAAATGAAGAAGTCCAACGGGATAAGAATTTAGAGTGAAGTTGTCTTGCCCTTGCCAGTGTGGCGCAGTTGGTTGGAGCATCATCCCACACACCAAAGGTTGCCAGTTCGATCCCCAGTCAGGCTGCCTCTGGGAGGCAACCAATCGATGTTTCTCAGATTGATGGGGTTTTTTTCCCCTCTCTCTTTCCTTTCCTCTCTCTCTAAAATCCATAAACATATTTTTAAAAATTTAAATAAAATCACCCGTCTCTCATGACCTCAGGTTCCCTCTCGTTTTCTGATGGTAGTAGGCCACTCCCAACCCGTCGGGGCCCATTTCCACTCCGAGGTGCCAGCCTCCCGCGTGTCTCTCGCCCTTTTGATGGCGGGCACTGTCGCTCCAACGACAGGCACAAAGAAGGCCTCCGATTGCTCTGCTCGTTGTGCTCCTGATCGGTTCTGGGGAATAGGCACCACCCTCCGTTCCTCTTCAGCGCCCCTGCCACCTCCACCAATTCTCGATCCCTCTCACACGAGGAGTGCAATATTACACAAACAGGAAAATGTGCAAGACCAAGCAAGGGATCGGGGAGCCACGTGTCTGCCCATGCACGTTTTTTGTGGGCAGAGTCCACTGGCTTCCCTGGGGGCCGTGTCTTCTTCCTCCTTCGTTCCCCTGAGAGTGACGTTCTTCTCTGCAGACGATGCACTGGCCCTGCCCTTCCCGGCGTGCCCCTAAATTCTGAAGGTCTTTCCTGGCCCTTCGAGGAGTTGGAAGGGGCCTCCCCCAGAGTGGCGGCCCCACCCCAAGAGGCAGCAGCCCCCGGACCCTCTGCTGGGGCTCTGGCTGGAAGGCAGGCGTCACCTGTGCACCGTCTTCCCCGCAGGGCTGAGGCGCATGTCCGGCTCTGAGCTGACCGAGCTGCTGGACCAGGTGGAAGGTGCCATCCGAGACTTCTCGGAAGAGCTGGTGCAACAGCTGGCCCACCGGGATGAGCTGGAATTTGAGAAGGAAGTGAAGAACTCTTTCATCACGGTGCTCATTGAGGTCCAGAACAAGCAGAAGGAGCAGCGAGAGCTGATGAAAAAGAGGCGGAAAGAGAAAGGGCTGAGCCTGCAAAGCAGCCGCGTGGAGAAGGGGAGCCAGATGCCTCTCAAGGTACGTGAGCCCCCAGCCGGAAGGCTGGCTGTGTTCCGCGTCACACCGTCAGCCCTGCAGTGGACTCAGAGACAGGCCTGTGCTGAGCAGTGACGGAGCAGGACACTGTGGGGCACAGTGGGGTGTGAAGAGGGAGGAGAGGCCACCTGTGTCCTCTCGTCCCCAGAGGACTCAGGTCTAACTGGAGGAGACAGGGGTAAACACGGGAAAATCATTGAGTGTGTTCTCTTGGTCAAGAACTTAGAGAGGCGGGGTGAAGACATTTAGGACTCTCGCTCTGTAGGTTGTCAGTGGGTGTTTCAGGATTGAAAATCAGGATGCTTTATTGTTATATCGACAGGATTCCTCAGACCAGTGGTCCTTAATTAGGGAAGCTCGGTAGCATTATCTAAGGAGATTTTTCAAAGTGCCCTCGCCTTGGCTGTCTCCCATACCTGCTGAACTGGGCCTAGGTCGGCGCATTTGGAAAAAGCACCCTGGATAAGGACCATTGCTGGACATCTGCCCTTCCCAATGACTGGGCATTTTGCTTTCTTCCCTAAGATTTTTGCCTCATCATCTATCTGTCCACGTTTTGCTGTGTGGCTTTATTTTCCTGTTTACACAGCAGAGGTGGATATGAAGGAACCCTGGGGGTGACTTGCTTAGATAAGAGTCTTTAAAGAGACCCTTTATTCTCTGAAAGCCCGGATTTACATTTGACAGTCTCTTAGCCCAGGTCTTGCATTTCCTGTCCAGTCACAGGCCTCTGAGGTAGTTGCCTGGGCCGAGTGGTGGCTCCTGGGTCTGGGTGGCAGGGGGAGGACACACAAGTCCTCCTGGGGGTGGCCACCACAGCGCAGGAAGCACCTGCTCTTCTTGAGTCTCTTCTCCCCCAGCGCTTCAGCATGGAGGGCATCTCGAACATCCTGCAGAGCAGCATCCGTCAGACTTTTGGCTCCTCGGGAACTGACAAACAGGTACGAGTTGTCTCCCTGGTCCCCGCCCCCTCCTCCTAGACTCCTGCAACTTGGTCCCCCCACCCCCGGCCTTCGGAGCAAAGTGGTGATTCAATAGGATTATACCAGTGCTCCGCGGTGACCCGAGTCCTAACATTGCTTCTACTCTGCAGGAGGACCAGAATAAACCTGAATACTCAACACTGCTTGTAGAACTACAAGTTAGCCTATTTTAAGAACTAAATGCATAAAAAGCGAAAGGCACTTGACGATCGATCCCCTGTGAGCTTAGACCCGCCCACCGGAACTTCCCCCTTAGTCATCAGCCCTGACTGTGAGCCACCCGGGGCGGGATCTGCGAGTTGGCTCCGTGCAGTCAGTTACATGCCTGAGACCCATCTCTGGTTACTTAGATGGTGTTCAAAGCATTTCCCCGCGCACCGGTCTGGTGCCGACCTCTGGTGCTAGGCCCCCAGGAGCAAAGATGGGTAGTTCCGATAGTTCCGACTCCTGCACTGGTGGAGCGCACAATCCAACAGCGGCGGCCGGTGTGCGAATGGACGAGGGCGAGATTGTGCAGTGAGTGCACACAAATTATGCACGTGTTTTACACACGTTGATAGCTGAATCCTAAGTGTTGGAATCCTGGAACACAATCTGGGAAGAGATTTTAGGAACGTCTAGCTCAGTCCCCTTATTTCACAGCACTACGAACTAAGGCCCAGAGAGGTTAGACAAGGTTTTCCCAAAGCCACACAGCTGCTAATGTGTGGGGGAGCCAAGGGCGGAGCCGAGACTAACATACAGTCTTCTGACTTTTGGTCTGGAGGTCTTTTTCACTCAGTCTGCCGGGCGCCCTTAGAGCCCCCTCCAAGGTCTCGCCGGCCTAGTGCCTGATACTCCGCGGGCCCCCCCCCCCCCCCCCCCCCCCATGATTTTGTTGTAGCAGTGCCTCAACTCCAGCAGAGGGCGCAAACCCAACATTCAAGTCCAAGGGCTGGTTGAGATTCTGTCGCCTGTCATTTTGACAAAAGAGAAACCATTCATTCCCAACTTGCACTACAAAGGGTAAGAAATTATAACACCCTCTTCATGCTCCCAGCTGCATGAGGAGAATCTCACCAGGACTTTTAGATAACCAAAGAGTTTCTAGTGTCTGGGAAACGCACAGGTTGGAACGGAGGGACATTTTTTCCTGGCAGTCAAGTCTTAGTTTGTCGAGAGGCACGCCCCAAAGACAAGGCTCCTGAAATGGTGGTGTGCGAGTTATCGAGTTATCGTGGGCGTCGTCCAGCATGGACGGAGCGTGTTTGCTAGAGAAGAGCACAGGCCTCGTGCAGGTGGTCTCACACGCCTCAACCCTAGAGGACTCGCAGCCAGCACCTCAAGCCCCGCATGCTGTTTGTCTTGTAGTACTTGAACACAGTCATCCCTTACGAGAAGAAAGCCTCGCCTCCGTCGGTGGAAGACCTCCAGATGCTGACAAACAGTGAGTTGCTCTCATTCTCAGCGAGGTCAACTCACTCGTGTTTCTGCACCCTTCCCTGTGAGTTGCGTCCGTGGTGCTTCAGGCCTGAGATTTCGGGGAACAGTTCTAGCTGCGCGCTGTATCGTTGCCTCGCTTCCCCCTGGGTGGGGGCGAAATTAAAGTACTCTGCAGCGATGCCTCTCCCAGTTCCCGCAAGGGAAGAGATTTGCCAGAAGAAAATGAGCCTGTGAAAGAGGTTGGGGGAGGGGGGCGGGGCTGCGCAGGGACGTGTCGGCTCTCCCAGCAGTTCTCCAGGCTCCTCGCTGTCTGCAGGGCCTGTTTTCTCCTCCGCAGCTTGAGGACGCCCCTTAGTCTGAACTTGCGTCCCCAAAGCAGGGAGCTCGGTCTGTGGGGCTGGCTGTAGTTTTACCCAGAAGCAAAGTTTCTTGGGTGGGGGAAGGCCGATTGGAAAGAAGAGAGTCTGATTTTCTTTTCAAGAAATGACCGCCCCCTCTCTTCCACTTTGGCTCTATTGTCAAATACTGATAAACATTCTGAGCCAGGAGAGGAAAGTGTGTATAAAGAGCCTCTTGCAGGTAAAATCACTACAACCCCCAAAGCGCCGGGTCGCATGGTGTGAACCGTCAGTGTCAGCTTGATTCTTTTAGGAAGAGAACGCTAGGCTGAGATGCGACAGGCTCAGTGAATCAGGAGCCGTCCATCTCCCTGGCAACTGAGCCCTGCGTGAGTGGCGTACGAGCCAGGCTGCCCAGCCCGCTGCAGCGCTGCGGGGAGGCGCTGCGCCAGCCGCAGGGGGTACCTCGGCGCGGAGGGGAGAGGAGCTTCCTCGGCCCAGCTGAGACGGATGCCTGCTGAGCCCCAGGGCTAAAGGGGACCAAACGTTCTCATTTTGATCAATTTGGAAAACTAAAGCAGGAGGTGCTGGCGAATAGAAATCTTGCTGACATCGATGGGTACCGCGTCCTTGAGACTCCGGAATTTTAAATTCAAAAGATGTTGGTCTCCTCTTGACTCATTTTAAACTCCTTTATTTGCATAAATATGCACTAAGATTTTTTTCAAGGAGCAGATAGAGACGAACTGACATTTATAGGTGTTTGTGTTTTCACGAGCAGTCAGCATTTGGAAAATAAATTGGGCAAATGATGAAGGCTGATATATGTAAAGTACTCTGTCATGGTCTTAACAAAAGGAAGAGCCATGTATTTATTCCAGATCCTTGTTAAGGAATTCAGTGGGAAATCCTTTCATTTTAATTAAGAAACAGTGGGTTGGTTGACATTTTTTAAGCTCATTTGAACAATCGTAGCTAGAGTATATCAATCACTTAGAATACTGGGGAAATATTGAGAAGTGAACAAAGGAAAAGAAATAATTCATTGTCCCCTGGACTGTGGTTACTATTTTGGTGTTTTTCAGTTATGATATTTCATGTCTTTTTCATGTAGTTGGGATTAGACTGGCTATAAAATTTTGTATGGTGATTTTAGTCACATCAGTTAACATTTGGTTAACATTTTTTTATGGCTCTCTCTTCTACCATGTGGATATACCACATTCCCATATTTTATTCCCATGAAAAGAAGAAAAATGTCCTCTTTCCTGAATACCAATTCTCTGTAGGTTATGAAAGTTTTTTTTTTTTTTTTTTTTTTTTTTTTTTTACAAATCCTTGTGTGGATTTGTGGACAACATCTCCTCCGTACCCTACTCCAGAACAGACCAGAGACCAGCTGTGGGCACTGGACAGCTCACACGAATTTTGGGTTTTGGGGATCAACTCAGACACCTATTGGCTGAGCGCCCTTCTTGTATTTTTATGGCTATCTTCTTGGTGCAGCATCTAGTCTGGCCCGTGCTCAGCTGCAAAGTATTTCCAGCCCCTTCTGTTGACATAAATACATGTCAAAGAATACAGAAGAAGCAACACAAAAGAAGCCAGCACCTGGGAGTCCTCGGGTTCAGTCTCTTTCCGGACCTGGCTGCTGACTCATGGCAGCGCCAGCTCTGTTCTTCACCCACTCCTGATTTTTAGGATCGAGGTTCATGACCCTGCCCTGAGACTAGGCAGGGTCATCCAGGAAGAGCAAGGGCGTGGACGTGGGTTGGGCACCTGCCTCTGTGGTCGGGGCTGCCTCTGCACCCTGGCGGTCAGGTTGCTGGCCTTTGCTGTTTTCTCTGCTGGCAAACAGCAGCACCTGCTCACCGAGAAGATGCAGACACTGTGGACGCATCACCGAGAAAGGAGCGTCCCCTGTGGTCTCGCTGTCCGAAATAACGCCTCCTAATGGTTCCATGCACGTCCTTCCAGATTTTTCTATGAACGCTAGCATTTACTTAAAAGTTCTTTCATACTGTTAAGTATGTCTTTTACAAATAGATCTCATTTTTCATACACCTGTAGAAGAGTACATGGGCCCCGGCTGGTGTGGCTCAGTGGATCGAGTACTGACCTGAGAACCCAAGGGTCGCTGGTTCGATTCCTAGTCAGGGCACACACCTGAGTTGCAGGCCAGGTTCCCAGTTGGGGTCCCAGGAGAGGCAACCACACATGGATATTTCTCTCCCTCCCTTTCTCTCTCCCATCCCCTCTGTCTAAAAATAAATAAATAAAATCTTTAAAAAAAGACTACGTGGGATAGAGTTTATTTAAGGAATCGTTAATGAAGAAATCCACCAGTAGATATCCGCTCCTTACCCTCATTTTTTGACGTTATAAACAAGGCCCAGCCACCCCCATAAAGGATTTTCTACAAGGTGACGTCTACAAGGTGAATGATAAGTATGAGAAGATGCTACCTAGTTTAATAACAGAAACAGCTATTTTAAAAACTTTCATAAAAAGCCTTTGGGCTGAAATAACACCTCATGGTCTGCTTCCTGTGGGGCCCCGTCCCGTTTCAATAACAAGTCTGTTTGCTCTTCGGGGCCCACCAGTGTCTTGCGTTTCCACAAATTCTAGAGCTGTGCTGGGCATGAAATAGAAAGTAAATATTTGTCCAATGAAATCCATCTGTTATTAATAAATTGGAGGGGAGGGAATTTTCTGAAGGTAGGTGTATGTGAATAGAATGTCTCTAGAGGCAGTTTTATTGCTTATTCAGGGATACATTCCGACATTTCAATGGGCCGCCTCCGAAAGCTGCTTCTTTTTAAAAATGGGTTTATTTATTTTATTATTATGACTATTAAAGATGATATACACTTAGGAGATGATGTGGAAATTATACGAAAGCAAAAAAAAAAAAAGAAAAGGTAAAAGATAAAGAAACAAGAAAGCCAGCGCCACTCTTACTCTTGGTATCTTCTGCACCATCGTGGTGAGTGCTGACTCTTGACAGACGGTTCTAGACTTTCGCTCAGTACTAACCAACGTCTGGTTTCCTTGAATCGTTTCTTGCTCACTTTGGGTTGGTGGGTCGTTTGGCTCTAGAAGTGAGCTTCGTGCCTTGATGATACCTGGGCTCACCTCTGTTTCTCTCCCTCCCCAGTTCTCTTTGCCATGAAGGAAGATAATGAAAAGGTGCCAACTTTGCTAACCGACTATATTTTAAAAGGTAAGAGTGTCCCAGCCCTGGGTGATGTGGCTCAGTTGCTTGAGCATCATCCACAAAGTGAAAGGTCGCAGGTTGCACTGCCGGTCAGGACACATGCCTTGGTCGTAGGGCTGGTCCCTGACTGGGCTGCATTGAAGAGGCAACGGATGGATGTTTCTTTCATGCATTGATGTCTCTCGCCCTCTCTTTCTCCCTCCCTTCCCCCTCTCTAAAAACAAACAAATAACATCTTACAAAGTGAAAATAAAAAAAGAGAAGCCCAGCCCTCTGAGAACAGAAGTGGTCCTCTGGGCCCTGCCCCCAGGACTCCCTCTGAAGGTGCAGACCCCGCCCTGCCTCCTTCCCGCGCGGGGGCAGAGCCAGGGAGGGCAAGGGGTCAAGGGTGAGGCCCTCGTGGTCACGGGGTTTGCCTTGGCGTATTGCTTGGCGGCCTCAGAGGAAGATTCCATTGCTCCTGTGTCACCAGAGTGACTGTACACGAGAAGTGGCTAAACTGACAAAAGGCTGATTGTGACATTTCTGCGGAGCTGGGCTCTTTAGCTGGGAAAAAACAAAGCCCGAGGAAGCCATTAACAGTTTTCAGCTGCATAAAGGCAGCAAACATGAGTCACAATGAGCTACCTCCCTTCATAACTATTTCTCGTTTTATTTTGTATCTATTTAACGTACATGAAAGCAGAGTGAGTGATATAATGTACTTTTAGGTACTAAACATCCTGCTTTGACAATTAGGAATGCATTGTCAACTGTATTTTATTAATAGTCCTTTCTAACTTTTCCCTCCCAGTTTTCAAGCAAATCCCAATCCTATTTTCCATATGTAGATATTTCAGTATATCTTTCTAAAACACGAGGACTCTTGAAAAATATATCCACAATAGTATCACAACTAGGCAAATAAAGCATTTCTCAATATCATTGACTATCCAGTGATGTTCAAGTTTCCCTATATTTTTCAGCATGTTTGACTCAGGGTCCCGTGAAGGTCTCCACTGCAAATGGATCTGTCTCGTAGTCTCTTTTAATATAGGAAAGGAGAGAGGCTCCCCTTTCCTGCCTCTCTCTCCTCGTTCCTTGACTTTTTTGTTCTTGAAATAAGCAAGTTGTTTGCCCTTAGATTTTCCTCATTCTGGCCTTTGCTAGCTGGTTTAATTTAAGACGTCCTCCCATCTTTTGTGCTTGCTGATAATTGGTAGAGCTAGAGACTTGATCAGATTCAGCCTGAAATTTTTGCTAAGCGCTATGCCATTCACGGTTGTACACTTCCATTAGGAGACACATACATGCTCTGGTTTCCCCCCTTTTTGTAGCGCTGATACCTGTGTCAGTAGTCTGCCCTGGCTGCTAAAACAACATACCACCGCCTAGCTTAAACCACAGATACTGATTTTCTCACGTTCTGGGAGCTAGACACCCATGATGAAAGTGCCAGCGAACTTGCTTTCTCGTGAAGGCTGTCCTCGTGCGTGGCTTGTGGACTGTGGTCTTTCCTTCTGTGCTTGAGGAAAAGAGAGAGAGAGCTTCTCTTTCGTCTCTTCTTATAGGACACTAACCCTATCAGATCAGAGTGCCGCCCTTTTGGCCTTCCTTAACCTTCCTTTTTCAGCAGCTCCATCTCCAAAAACAGCTGTCCCGGGGGGTTGGGGCTTTAGCATATGGACTTTGGGGAGACACAAGCCTTCAGCCCTTAACAGTATCCACTGATAATCGGTCATTGTCAAGATCCTTTGCCGCACCAGTTTTTGCTGTGCACGAACGCCAGCCACTGGGCTCAGTTTCAGAAGGCTGTGGACCTCCGTGACGAACCTCTGAACTATATTGTTTCCATAAGGATCAGAGAGATTAATCTCAACTTTCTGCAGAAGGGATTTAGGCTAAACATTGGGAAGAACTCCTGCCTCTTAAAGGTTTTAAAAGAGCAGCAAATTTCTCAAAGGACATTTTCAAAGAAGGTTTATAGAAATGGGATCCGTAAGTCTGGGAACCTGAGGGCTAGACTTGTCCCCACGTGATCCACTGAAATGTCAGTGAATTTATAAAACTAGTTAACATTTACTGGGCACCTTCTACTTGCCTCTGAACAACCCTTTGGGGTAGGCAAAGGCACAGTCTGTTGTGTACATGAGGAAACAAGTAAGAGAGGCGAAGTCATTTCCCTGGGGTCGTGGACTCAGAAACAGCGGTTCCAGGGTTTGGATCCAGGCAGATGAGCACTGGAGACCACACCCTCATGACACCAAACAGCATCAGCTCTCCCTTCTTTTGCAGGAAAGACATGTGACTGCAATTATTTCTGATTCTAAGGGGGCGGCTCTCTGCTGAAAATGCTGGTGGTAGGCTGGTCTGACCGCTCTCAGCCGGGGCCACTGTGCCTTGCTTGACCTCTGTCCTCTCCTCTTCTTTCCCCAGTGCTCTGCCCTACCTAACCTCGCCCCTGGGAGCAGCCTTGCCGCGGAGGTCACTGAGCAAGAGTCATTCCATCACAGGGACTGCATGACACCACGTAACCTCCGGCGTGTCTTCAAACGTGTAGAGCTTAACCTGGATTAAACACGAGCAAACGCGCGGGTCCTTTGCTGTTGTTGGCTTCTAGTCCTAGTAACCATTGGGTGCATGACAAGGGGCAGGGCTGGGGACAATGTGGCCTGCCCTCCGCCTGTGTTGGGGGAGGCAGATGCCCTCACCACTCATTACGGAGTTTGGCTCCAGCCCTCAAAAACAGCTTATACTTTAACACTAATTTTGAAATAAACCTTCATTTAATTAATATTCTTCGTGTGCTTTGGAGTGTGATGTCTGGTGGCCCCATTACCGGCCCTTCAGAGAACGGCTCCCTCGAGTGATGGCCCATGTCTGTGGTGGCTGCATGGTGTCCAGGGATAGGAGCATACCGCTGTGGCCTCAGTGGCGCTGCAGGTGGCACGGACGAAGGAGGGGGCCGTCCCCAGGCTCAGAGACCTTGTGCCTTGGCAACTGTAGAGGGAGCTGCAGGGTGTGTGGTGGGGACTTCTGGGTGGGGGGCTGTGCAGTAAGCAGATAGAGAGGAAGCCCACGGATCAGTCAGGCGCTGCGCCCCTCCTGGTGAGATGCCCGCCTGGCTGCCAGAGGTCCTCCGCAGCCCCTCCCCAGGGACCTGGAGGCTCAGGGGCCGGAGGGAGGCAGCTCTGGGAGCTGTCTGAGCTTGTGGGACTTCACCTGCCCTCCTGCCTGCCCCCAACGACCCCTGGGAATCATATCCCATGACCGTGCATACGAGGCCCTGACCTTCATGTCAACCTGGGGTTCCAGTGGCTGTCACCCTCGAGTGCCATCTCTAGCATCGGTGCCGGCAGCTGCCAGCCTTGCTCACCTGGCAGGTGTATACGGTCCTCGGATCTGGGCGCTGGCTCAATCCCACAACCAGAGCTCTCTTGGCTTCTTTCTCCAGCTGGAATGCTATCAACCTTGCCAATTGCCACCGCTTTATCTTAAACAAAAATTTTCATTTAGTACTTGCTAAGTACTTGCCAGCCTGCCGCTGGCCTTAGCATCCTCCACAGATGGCCTCACATCACAGCGACCGCATGTGGCAGGTGGGCGCCTCGCCGCCCCGACGTCGGAGACGACCATGCTGAGCAGCAGCGTTCAGTTTATCACATTAGGCCTCCACTCACGTTTAGGAGCTCAGCGTTTGTTGAATGAAGGGTGGTGGCTTCACAGGGGGCCACCGATCCACATAGGTGACAATAGAAGGCATCCTTGACGCCTGCCTCTCACTTTCTGGGCCTCACCTGGGGGGAGGGGGACTTACACTGCTTGGGGCGCTGCCCCAGTGCCTGCAGCTCTGATGTGGGCATGTGCATGGAATGGAATACGGGTGTAGACAGAGCTCCAGCTGCTACAAAAGAGAAGCAAATAGGTACCCGCACACATTCTCAGGAGTCGGCGAATGGATGGGAGTCCCAGACTTTGACACCAGGGTGACTTTAGCTCTGCGTTCATTGGTGCTCCGGCCAAGGGTGCAGGGGGTCACTGTCACTGGGCAGCCCTGAGCAAGTTCACACCACCCGCAGCGGGGTTTGCCAGTCTCAGCAGAACAAAAGCACTGATGACCTGCCTCTGGTTCGTCAGATCTGGGTCAGCCCCTCCCTTCCCCAGTTTATCTTGCCAGCATGCGTCTGAAGCAGCACAGGCCAGCTCATCAAAGCTGCTGGCAGTTAAAGGTACATCTCACGTGGCAGGCAGGCAGGCAGGCACTCCCCTCTGGGAAGGGGCGTGTCCAGGAGGGAAGCCGAGGCTCCTCCTCTTCTCCTGTCATCCAGGCGGGCTTTGAGAGGGAATAGTAAATCAGTTTCTCCTGGGTTTTTTTGCACTGCCCTTCCCTCTGTCTTTGCCAAAGTATAAACGCAGAACTCCAGGCCCTGCCCCAGATCTACTGAGTCAGAAGCTGCACCGTGATAAGTCTGCAGGCAGCGGGCATTTGTGGTGCATCCTGGAGAAGGTCGGCTCTAGGTCTCCAGCGTTGCTGCAGCCCCGGCCCTGGGAGGTGGAACCTGAGCAAAGCACAGGTAGTAGGAGAATGAGCACAGGCGGACCCACTCTCTCTCCCGGCTTCCTGTCCCGCTTTAGGACCCGCGGTCTTGATTGCAGAACTCAAGGCCAGTCTCAGAGGTCCACACTCAGAGGTCCTGGAAAGCGAGCTCAGCAGGGTGGTCTCCTAGGTAGGGAGGAGGGTGGTCTGGCCCTTGGGTTCTTTTTTTTTTAATTACTTTTTTTTAGAGAGAGGGGAAAGGAGGGAGAAAGAGAAGGAGAGAAACATCAACTTGTGGTTGCCTTTCACGCACCCCCAACTGGGGACCAGGCCCACAACCAAGGAATGTGCCTTGACTGGGAATCGAATGGGTGACCCTTAGATTTGCAGGTAAGCACTCAATTCACTGAGCTACACCAGCCAGGGCTGGTCCATGGGCTCTTTAAATGAGGTGCGTTCCCATCAGTGAAAGACCTTGAGGTGGATTTGGCCAAGCCTAATCGCTTCAAGTCCTAGGAACCACAGCTCCGAAGCAGAGCTGGGCAGTGGCCTTCGCCTATGAGGAGCTGAGAGGATCTGATCCGATCGGCTCCAAGCCATTTTCCAGATGGGTTCTCCCCACATTGCTTATCCTTGTAGTTCTGTTTCAGGATGGGAGGCAGATGTGATGTCTCAGAAAGAAAACCCCAAAGGAAGGGTGCTGTTGAGATTAAATGGATTTAAAAAATTAAATCAACCTTTTCCCTGCTTGCTGGAATCACGTCTGCAGCAGGAGCGTCATCCGCTCGTGGCCAGGGAGGAAGAAGGGATGGAGGCGATCAGTGAGGAGGATGGGCCCCCAGCTGTTTTAGGGTGAATGATAAACCGAGTCCTAAAGGACATCAGAGAGTCCACTTGGTGGCCATGTGGGAGCATCCACCGTGTGCTAGGTAGAGACTCCTGCCACTGGGGGCACGTGGGGTCTCACCAAAGGTGTATGCAGGGAGCCCAGCGCCCACTTTTCTTGCGCTTGATTTCCACGGAAGGCAGGAGAGGTGGCTGTCCTTGCCCGGCTAGCCTCTGTGATTAGTATGCGCGGAGGGTAATTAACGGCTGCTCTTGGAGAAAAGACGCTCGAGTTCTTGATGGAGCCTGATTATTTATTTTCTTGGGAGGGTGAGAGCATGTTAGGGTTTCTGTCTGAGCCTTGCCCTCCTCCTCCCTTCGCCAGAGAGGGGAAGCCCAGGCCGCTCCGCAGACCAGAACGGCGCTGTGGCTCCACATTAACGCCTTTTCTTTTGCAAGAACAATGAGCCACCTTAGCCCACAGCTCCACAGCTCCACACAGCGCCCAAGCCCTCATGCATATTCATCTTGCTTCAAAGAGCACAGCATGGAATATGCAAATTAACCAGGCAGGAGCTGGTTGGCATTTTGATAATAGCTTTGTCTGAAAAACCCCAGAGACGTATGCACCTCTAGTTCCTCTCTCTTTCTCCCTCCCTCCCTGCCTCCTTCCTTCTTTCTCTCTTTCCTCTACCCTGTGTCCCCAACCTCATTCCCTCCTCAGCTCTCGGAGAAGAGGACAGTGAATCACAGAGCCAGAGAAGCAAGTCAGGGAAAGAACCAGGAGTCTGCATTCCAGTCTGCTGTGTTGCCACTTTGTCCTCTCGCTCTTCCTCCTGGAAGAGATGCGTCCTGCTTTTCCCCTTCCTGCAGTGGGACCCGGTCTGACAGCACCCCTGGCCCTGGCCTGTCCTCAGCTCTCAGCGGGCCCCCTCCCACTTGGTCTGGGCTCCCATTCTCTCTCTCTCTCTCTCCCAGATGTGAGCTCCCTTCTCTTTGTTCTTCCTCCATCTTCCAACCTGGTTTTTCCTTACCCGCAGCATTCAAACCTGAAAAAAAACCAAGAACCCGGCCTTGCCCTTGGACAGGCTGGAAGGAGTCACCTGCACAGGCCGAGGGTGAGGAGGGCTGGGAGGTCAGCTGTCGGCACTGACTCACGCCTCAGTCTGACACGTGACCGTCAGCAATTGTACAGTGGACCTCCTGTTGCCACCTCTGCGCCCCAATCTGAGGACAGTCCGCAGAGGCCCCTCCCCCAGACCGGCTCCTAGAACAGCACACAGAGCCACTTCTTCTGCTGAGGGGAAGAAGAAGGGGACCACATGCAGCCCGGGATGGCTATGTGGTCATCCGCATACGGGACCTAGGTCCTTTCCTCTCCCCCCAAATGTAGATGGCTCAAGTTTAGGAGCTGGTGGGCTGCGGGGCAGGGCGGACTCTGGGAGAAGCCGGTTAAGGTTTGGAGCCGGGTCCCTGAGTGCTGTTTCATCTGGGACCTGAGCTGAGAGGAGCTAACACCGGAGCCGGGCTGCTGGTAGCTCTGGGAATTTCAGGAAGTGGGGGCTCCTCCCTCGGCTCTGAGGGCCAGCCCGGGTCAAGCGGAGGCTTAGAGAGACAGACAAGGTACCTCCCAGGAGGAGTGTGTGTTTTCCTTTCGGTTGAAACCTTAGCTCTACTACATAGATCATCTATTTAATGTCTTTGAGCCCTAGGTACCTCATTTTGGACATGGGGACAATAATAGCAGCAATAATACTAGCAAAACGTCCAGGGTTATTTGGAACCATCTGCATGTCTAGCATGTGTGCTAGTGCTCAGTCCATTGTGACTTTCCTTTTTACTCGTGAACTTTGAAAAGCTTAGAGAAAGAGTTGGTCCTAAGGTTTCCTGAGACCGGGGGATCTGATCATCTTTTCAATTCGTTGGACACAGAATCTGAAATTAAAAACGAAATGACTCAGAATGACAGGGTGTGGCCTGTTCCCCTAATATTAGCCGTATTCCTACCCTTTATCCTCACAAAATCCCGCTCACTGGTTGTTCCATGACACCTGGCACCTGCTGATTTTAGAGCTGGGGACCTCGGGGAACCCTGGCCGAGGATAAAAAGTGAAGAGGCAGGAGATGTGTCATATGCAGGTTCATTAGTGCAAAGCAGTGGAGGAGTGAAGGTCAAATCCAAGTTCATTTTGTGCTTAGAGAAAAGATTCTATTTTCATTGGTGAGAAGACAGGCGGAGTGACAGAGGGGAAAGGACAGACCACCAGACCCCCTCGGGGAAGCTGCAGGCGCTTTATGACCAGGCCACACGGGTGGGACAGGAGGACCAACCCGAGGGGTTCGAGAAAGGTGTCCCCGATCTCTGAAGGAGTCACTCCCTTGTAGAAAGTAAGCCTTGAGACCA